GAAATGTATGAAAACAAATTCTAGGGTCACATGGTGCAGCTGTGACATCCATACTCACAAATCGTTTTTCATAATGGTCCTGGAGTTTACTGTAACAGTTCTTAACTAAGAAAGAAGATTAAGGGCTGGGTGAGGTTGCACACATCCATAACCTTTTGAGCAGCCAGGAAGCAGGTTTTGGAATTGAAGGTCATGGTTGGCTTATAGCAAGTTTGTGGTCAGCTTGGGCTGCCTGAGACAGAACAAATACGGGAGAGAGATGCAGTGCTTGTCTACTTATTAATGTGAATATTTTTTGTTGTTGCTTTTTGTGTTTTCAAGACAAAGTTTCTTTGTGTAACAGCCTTGGTTGTCCTTGAACTTGCTATCCGACCAGGCTGACCTCAACCTCACAGAGATCTGCCTGCCCCTGCCTCCTGAGTGCTGGGATAAAAGGCATGCACCACCATACCCTGCTTTCTTTCTTTCTTTATTAATGATTTATTGTTTATTTTTATTTTATTTGCATTGGTGTTTTGCCTGCATGTATGCATGTGTGAAGCTGTGACTCCTCTGAAGCTGGAGTTTACAGACAGTTGAGAGCTGTCACATGGGTGCTAGGAATTGAAGCCGGGTCTTATACAAGAGTAGCTCATGATGGATGAAACATCTCTCCAGCCCCATTTAAAAAAAAAAATGCATTAGTAATTTTTGTGTTTTGTTTTCCTAAATTGTAAGAGAAAAAGTATAGCAAGCTACACTTGTAACTAGATATCTCTGTTTCTGGTGTATCATAAATGGTAGGCCTCACTTGAACCTGATTCTACAGCATACACAGCGTGAGCCATCAAGCTGAAGTGAAAACATCTTTTTGGTCTCCAGGCAGGTATATACTCCCTACCTAACACTTGCACTCATGTCTGATTAGCTTCTCCAGTTTACTGTATCTGAACAAACTCTTGGTTTCCACCCCATCTTGCTTCTAGACAGTAGTTCTCAACATGTGGGTCATGACCCTTTTGACAAACTTCTGTTTCAAAAAAATATTTGCATTATGATTCATGATTACAGCAAAATTACAGTTCTGAAGTAGCCATGAAAATAATTTTATGGTGGGGGTCACCACAACATGAGGAACTGTATTAAAAGATCGCAGCATGAGGAAGGCTGAGAACCACTGGTTTAGACTCTCTTCTGTCCTGTTCTTCCCCATCTCAGTAAGTGGCCTTTAGATTTTCCTGGGCTCCTTGGAACCAGGACCTTTCTGCTTCTCTTCATCAAACCCATTAACAAACCCTACAGTTCTATCCCTCCAGTTTCCATAGCCTCAGACCTAGTAAGATAACCATCCCCTCCAAACTGCATTATTGTAACCCTGGAGTTGCTTTCTTTCTTGTGGCCCCTCTCCGTTACCTGTGTGATATGACTGTTAAATCAATCCTAGAGCAAAAAGAGTGACTACCAGTAAGGCATTAGTCAGCTTTGAATTACTATGACAAACACTTGAGATTAGCAATTCAAGGAGGGAAAGGGTATTTGTGCTTCTAGTTTGGGGGTGTCAGTTGGTGGCCAAGTTACCTCTGTCACTTTTAGGCCTGTACTAAGGCAGTTTGTCACAGTACGTGATGGAGGAGGCTGTTCTCCTCTTGGTGACTGGAAGCAGACAGAAAGGGCTGGTGTCTTAATACCCTGTAAGGTCTTCCCCCCAAACCTCACCCCTCCTACTAGGTCCCCCCACCTCTTGAAGATCCACCACCTTCTAATAATACCACAAACTGGTGAACAAGCCTTGACCACATAGGCCTGGCTGAAGTTTCTTATGTCATCCAAGTCATTCTGTTTATGATGGATAATTTTAACGTCTTATTTAAGGAAACTTTGCTGTGTTCTTTTCTAAAAACTCCCTATAGTCTATATAATCTATTTTTATTTTTCTAGGTTCATAACCAACTTTATAAATTAATTTCCTTTTTGTGTTTTTGTTTTTTGGGTTTTTTTGGGACAGCCCTGCATAATAGCCCAGGCTGTCCTGGACTTGCTTTGTAGACCAGGGTAGGCTAAAACTCACAGAGATCTGCCTGCCTCCTCCTACGAGTAGGATCAAAGGCATGTACCAGCACACCCGGGAGTTAATTTGCTTCTTAAGTGAGATTTAATTATGCAAGAGGACTATAGCATGACTGTATCTACTTTGTTTTGATGGGTAGTGAGTTTCTAGTTTAGGGTACTTTGAACAGTACTGCTACAAATACTGACATGTCATTTGTGAAATGTACGTAAGTTCTGTTTGGTATATAGCTTGGAGTGTAGCTGTTGAGTCAAATGGTAAGTGCATATGCCACCTCAGAGACCAAGCAGCATGATGGGAGCGTCCTCAGAGATTCATTGTCTCTTTCTTGGCAAACTTTTGGCTAAGGGTGTTGTGACAGTGATTTCCAGATAACTAACAGAATTGAGCACCTTTCCTTGTTTATTGGCCTATAGTTTTTCTTCTTTTATAATTGGGAATCTATTTAACCCTTTGCCTATTTTTCTGCTGGGTCGTATGCATTTTTCTTACTGATTTATATGATATTTGTAAATTCTAAATACACTTTGTTAACATACATACATACATACATACATATATTATCTTGGTTAGCAGTGTCTCTCTCTCTCTCTCTCTCTCTCTCTCTCTCTCTCTGTGTGTGTGTGTGTGTGTGTGTGTGTGTGTGTGTGTGTTTTAAGATAAGGCCTTCCCATGTAGCTCAGTCTGACCTGGAATTTACTGTTTGTAGCCCAAGGTGGCTTCTAAGTCCTAATCCTCTTTCTGCTTCTGCCTCCTGGGTGCTGGGACTGCTCACATGTTCCACCATGCTCAGCAAAGTAGTGGAGTTTTTTCTTTTGTTTTGTTGTTTTTATTTTTTCCTTTCTTCAGCAGGGGTCTCACTGTGTAGCCTAGGCTAGCCTGAAACTCACTATGTAGGCCAGGATGGCCTCAAACTCAAAGAGATCTGCCTGATTCTTCCTCCAAGCACTGGAATTAAAGGCATGTACTGCCACCCCTGCTTACAATGATTTTTTTCAAGGAACAGTTTTTTTTTTCATTTAACTGTAGCTCAAAATGTTTTCTTTCTTTATAATGAACAGTCTATATATCTTGTTTAAGCAAACAGCTTAACTCAGTCATAAAGCTATTTGAGGCTCTCTGAAAGCCTATTGTTTTACCATATTTTAATCTGTAATACATTCAGAAATTATTCATTTGAAAAAAATTTTTTTTCTTTAATATCAGTGACAGTTTTCTTACCCAGAGCATGAGACACCCTCTTCTCGAAACCCAGTGGCTCCCTACTGCACTTGGAGTAAAGTGTGTATGTATCTCGCCATGCCACCTTGACCTGCTCTGTGCCCTGCGAGGCTGCTTCTGACATGTCCTCTCCCTCCTGTTTGCTGTGGCCTGCGTGCCTCCTTGCCTGTCTTCAGTCTTATGGTGCAGTCTCAGGCTTCACACTCTCTGTCGGCACAGTGGTGCATGCCTGCACTCCTAACACTTTGAAAGCCGAGGCAGGGAGATTGCAGGTTTGGGACCAGTCTGGGCTATAAAGTAAAACCATGTCTAAAAGTGAAATAAAAATAAAAATGACAACCAAAATTGCTTGCAGGCTTTTTGGCTAAGATGAAGTTGAGTTCCTTCTACTTAGAGTGCTCCCCCACCCCCTTTTTTGCCATCTTAGCTAGATCATTTCACCTCTCATTTCACCAACCTTTCCCAGAACAGACCATCCCATCACCATGTCTAACATGAGTAAATGGTTCGTTAAGGTGACCCCACATGCATGCTGGTACTAAGGATGTATTGCTGTTGTATGTGATCTTTCTTAGAACAGGTTCTGTATTGCTTGCCCCTTTGTATATCCTGTTAGAGCATTACACAGAATTAAAATAAGGTCCTAGGTGTAGTGCTTGAATAACCGACTATCTTCCCTGTTACCTACAAGTTCACCGGACTGTGAACACAGAGATCATTTAAAGGCTAGAGAACTTAGAAGGCTTTATAATTTCCTAAAGTTGGGCCCTGTTTATTCCTGTCAGTGATACTCACTGTATTTCAAGTTTACAAAGCTACTGTTTTTCCTAAGCCTTACCCTATAGACCTAATGAATCTCAGTGACCTGAATCTTATTGTTGGGGCTGTTTTGGGATGCGTGTATAAATTCACCTTTCCTAAGGGTTTCTTGTTCATTCTTTGTCATGTAATTTATCTCCACCGTTGATCACATTCATTTTTCCTTCACTTAAAGATTTTTAAGCTAATGTCTGACTTATAGTTCTTTTGATTAATCATCAAATGTCATAAAATTACAGAGCAGAAACAGATTTTAAGGCCATCTCACTCAGCTTTTAAAGAGTTTCTGGATCAATTGACTAAGTTAGAGTGCTTTCGCTGGGTGACTAATTTCCTAAGCTTACCTGCACTGTGGCTATGTGAGAGAATAACCACATTTAAGGGAGAGCACACAGAAACTTTTAGGAATAAAGATGACATGATTTACACAATGCATTTTCAAATGGCTCAAGAAAAATTGTTTCCGTGTGCACACATGTTCATGTACAAAGAGAAGCACTAAAGATATAAAGACAAAATATTAACAGGAAGGATCAAGCCAAATGGTATATGAGTGCTGTGGATGATGCAGTGATGCTCACGTAGTCCCTCTGAAACACTAAGGTTAGTTGACTTCCGTCAGTAGACTGAGACAGAATGGCCCAGCCTTGTGCCCTCTACTACGGTGTGCTCCCTTCTTGTAGCAAACAATTCTTGAACACTGGGGCTAGCACCCTGCTGGTAGTAGGACACTACCAAGTTAGAATATTCATAATAAAATTAAAATATCTTTAAATAATAAAAATCTTTTGCCATCACCTGGCCAGCCCTACATACAGCCTCTGCCTTCTCTGTTACTCACACCTTCACCTTGTTGTTGATAAGACAAGCACGCGGTCATGTCTTCATGCTGGTCTGTTTTCTTTCCTGACAGCTACTGCTTCCTGGGACACTTTTCTCATGCTATGGAACTTCAAGCCACAGGCTAGAGCTTACAGATATGTGGGTCACAAGGATGTTGTAACCAGCGTGCAGTTCTCTCCACAAGGAAACTTAATAGCCTCCGCCTCCCGAGACAGGACTGTGAGACTCTGGGTTCCTGACAGGTAAGAACAGCAAACATGGAGAAGATTTCTGAGGGAACTGTGGGAGGATACTGAGGCCTGGCTGCTGCTAATGTGCCTCTTGGGGATGCCTCAACTCCCTCATGACCTGTAATCACTGAGGTCACAAATAAACTGCCTTGGTTTTAAAGCCAAACTGCTTCATACAAGTTTCTCAAAATTCAACTCAAAATTATGTCCTCTTTTTGAAATATCATTTCTAACCTGGAGATATGCACAATATGTCTGAAGCTTTGAGAGATGGCTAGAAATATGTGTAAATCTGAAAGAAACACAGTGATATATACCAAAAGCTCAGTTTATTAACCCTGTAGTGCCCAGTCATGGGTTCTTGGGGGCCCTGGGAACCCTGTCAACACTCCTGTAGTTGGCTGGCCTTTGTTTGTTAGCATTCATTTTGGAGCTCTAGAATTTTCATGTTAAAAAAATTTCTGACAAAAATGTAAATCATTGCTGAGTATGGTGACACATGCCTTTAGTCCCAGCACTCAGGAAGTGGATACAGTTGAATCTCTGAGGTCAAGGCCAGCCTGATATATAGCTTGAGTTCCAGGACAGCCAGGGCTGAATAGAGAAACCCTGTCTTGAAAAGCCACTGAGATAGATAGATAGATAGATAGATAGATAGATAGATAGATAGATAGATAGATAGACAGACAGATAAGAGATATGGAGATATAGAGATATTGATATATATGTCAATGCATTTGCTGAAGTTGTATTCTTTGGTGACAACTTCTGTGAGATGCTCTTCAGACATGAGCTGATAGCCTGTCTTGTAAAAAGCTTTGGAGTCAGGATAATTTTTTAGGTTTTAAAATTTAAGTAAATAAATTTTCAAATATCCATAAAGAGTGAATAGCACAACTTCCTTACCATACCAGTCAACAGCTTCGAGGGCTGCCCCTGTATCATATATCTACCTTGTGTTATATATCTACCCCCACCTTTTTCTAGGGTACCTTTCTAAGGAATATTATGTGTACTGTCACTCTCTGTCCTGTGTCAGAGGATGGGAGCACCAACATTTCCCTTGACTCTGTTGTGGCAGGATTTGATTTGCAATGTCTAACTAATAGTCCCAGGCACTTACAGAGGAAGAATGCTTATGAGTGATTGTCTGCCTCTAGGTATTTTATTTTGCCACCACCCAGGGGAAATTCTGCTTTGAAAAGTTGAGTATTATAGTGACAGAAGTAGACTCTTGAGAAAAATTCACATAAAAATGTGCTTGGACTGGAGGGAAAGTCAGAGGAGAAAGAGAAAGGTTTAGCATTCAAGAGGAAGCAGGGGCTTTAAAACCCTTAGCTTTGGACATTTAGGGCTAATTCATTATTTAAAGAGTTGCAGCCTGTCATCTATTACTGACTTGGGAAATCTCAGGAAGCAAAGCATACCAGGGTAGGTGCACTAAAAATCTCACTGATCATTAATTTGGTATAGGTATCTGCGTAGTAATTGTGTTTCTATCCATTGGTTTCTCCTTCTAAATATTGTCACAGTCAGGCCAGGGCAATGGTGATTCGTGGCAATCAGTAATTTATATATCAGTGATTAGTTACCTATCACTGTTTAAAATCCCTCAAACTGAGTAGTTTAATCCAAAACCTGTCACCTATCTTTATACTGTAGGTGTTTGGGGTGTTTTTCTCCCTATTTATGTTGGCTGAGGTTACCTACACAGTCAGAAATGAAAGAGTGTGCTTCAGTTACAAGTCTGGGGCCTTGGTTTTCTTGCACCTTCTTGTCCAGTAGGATAGCCTAGACTTTGCCACAGAGTGGCAGGTGAGCGTCACAATGGGAAAAGCAGAAGCTGCTAGACCTGTTAAGAACTAGGCCCTCAATGGAACAGTGTCGCTTGGGCTGCTCAGAATAACTCAACAAAATCAGGCTGAATTCAGAAGAGAGCAGCAAGAAACCAGCCCAGCAAACAGCACAAGACTCCACTGCCCTGGTGTCTGCTGATTATCTTGTGCAACAGGTCCCAAGGTGGGCCAGCCTCGCTGGAGAATGTCCTAGGAAGAATGGAGTCTATCCCCCAGCCTGCCAGCTTCCTGGTCACTGCACATGACAAGGCTTTCCTTTGCTGGCTCTTGGATTGAGCAAATACAAGCTAAGCTATATCTGGTTTCTCTCACAAGAGCTCCTCTTGAAAATTGAAGTAGTCATGCATAATCTCTCCTGGATGTTGAATACTAATGTCAGTTATTACACATGCATTATTATATGCCTAGTGATAGAAATTAATGATAAAGTCACATTTGCCCCTATGAATGAATAAGCCAGATTGAATCTAAGAAGCTTTAAAGTATTGGTTCTTTCCAGTGAAATCCAGTAGATGGTTACTGAACTCTTTCTGTGGATCTGACATACATTAAATGGTGGGCTCACAGAGATGAGTAAGGTCATTTCTGTCCTCAGAACATATACTGGTTAGTAGGCGAGAAATAGTTTAGTGTTTACATGTCGGAGTTTACTGCAGTAATTTAGATCCTTGTAGCAGGTCAGGAACAGTGTGGTTTGCTCAGGGCTCTCATGGGAAACGTCTTCCTAAGTCACGGAGGATGAGAGACATGGTTGTGTTGGAAGCACTGTGATGGCTCTGGGTACAAAGTTCAGCTCAGTGGCAGGATATCCTGCCAGTAAGCTTAGGGCGTTGTTCTTCACGCTGAGGTAGCCAGTAACACATTTACACTGGGATTAATGGGCTTGGCATTACCTTTCCAACAAGTGACAAGCACAGTGTATAGGTGATGGTGAGGGTAGATAAAGGATTAGAGCAGGGAGACGGGTTAAGAGGCTTTTGCAATAATCTAGGTGAACGGTGCTAAATATATAAGTTCCTGAAGGCAAGCAGAGCCAGGTAGTAAGAAGAGGGCTATTCGGGTGAAGTGGTAAGCACAGGATTTGCTGATGTGATGCATATGACTTCTCTAGGCTTCTGTTGGAGAAACATGCTGCTGTTGCTCCAATCCCAGGTAGCAGATACAGGGCGAGCTGCAGGTGTTTGGATGTTGTGTGAGATTTGAGAATCTTAAGACAGATGCCTGGCTGATGTCTGTTCTCTTACCTTTTTCAAGCATCATGGCAGTCTCCCCATGTATGACTTAGGAAATGATTTTCTAAATGCAAATCTGACTAAGTCCTCATTATAGTGCAAAGTGCCTGTGCCTGGAAAGCTTAACACTGACACAGAATTTCCCAGCACTCAGCTTGGACCTCAGTGCCATCTAGCCTGCTGACTCTTCTTCTTTTAAGTGAAGAAAACCCAAGGTGTTTACAAGGGTTTTAACGTAGCACATATTAATAGAGCTGCTTGGGAGAAAGTGCACACTCATGTGTGGATGAGGGCGTCTGCAGAGTTACCGCCCGCATCTGTTTTCAGGAGATTCTGCTCGCCTACAGTGCCTCACATTGTTTTCTCCACTACTCTTTTGTCTTTTCTTCTTCCCCAGTTAAGAAAACTCCTGTATGTGAAACTTCAAAGCACTTTAGTTTTGTTCATAAGTATAAGATTGAGGCCATGAGGTTTGCAAGGCAGGAGGTACATGCCGGGGCCTCAGTAGTTGATAGTGGTTGGTAGAGGTGGTATGGGCTTGGGGACTGCAGGGATGGAGGGCTCTCGGGAGACATTTTGTATAAAGGCAGGTAGCACAGGAGGTCCTTCTCCCAGCCCAGACTGTTAGCTCACAGAACTCCACATGGCATGGTTTCAATCCCTGCTCTGGGGCCATCATCCTTAGCTATTCTAGGCTGAAACATCAAAGTTATTGCTTGTTACCGTAGTGGAGAGGCTGGCTCAGAGTATTGTTTAAGCCTCGGCTTCCCATTAAGACAGAAGCAGGGTTGGGGGAGCAGCCCCACTCTGTCATCTGTGGTCTCCAGGGACCAAGCCAGGGCACAGCAGTGTGAGTGAAGGTGCCGCGCTGTGTGACTTTCCCCTGCTCCTTTAAGGTTCTGTGAGCATTAAGCTGTGAACGTAGTAATCTGATAGTTAACTATTAAGTAACTTGTCACTGTTAACTTGTGTTTTCAGGAAAGGGAAATCTTCAGAACTTAAAGCACACACAGCCCCAGTTCGAAGTGTGGACTTTTCAGCTGATGGCCAGTTACTAGTGACAGCGTCTGAAGACAAATCCATTAAAGTGTGGAACATGTACCGTCAGCGCTTCCTCTACTCCCTGTACCGACACACACACTGGGTGCGCTGTGCCAAGTAAGTGCAAACAGTTCTTTACACAGTGTTGTTCCTGCTCCAGACTATGTTTGATTCCCCACCCCCACCCCGGCCTCCAGGCAGGGACTGGGGTGATGTCCATTCATTCACTTAGCAAACGTTAATTCTGTGACTGCTTTGTGTGTGTTGGAATCACTTATAAACAAAGCTGTCAGAATCTCCTGTTTTCATGGAGCTTACACTCTAGAGTCAGGCAGTTGAAATGTAAATATATATGTTATATGCTGCATTTATATATATACGTGTGTGTGTGTGTGTGTGTGTGTACACACACAGTAAATCTGTTTCATTTTAAATGGCATTCAGGGCTGCCTTACAGAGAAGCCTGTCTTCAGGCAGAGACATCAAGGAGGAAAGAGTAAGCCTTGAGATTTCTCAGGGAGATGAGAGCCTGGGGGTTGTTAGAGAAAAGCAAGGAGCAGATGCTGGAAGCAGGGGAACAAGGCCCTGCCTGAGAGGAAACGTCACTAGAACACGTTCCTTTCTCCAACTGACTCAGTAACAGGGTAGGCAGTGCGCTGTGGAGTGATGAGTGTTACCGGTTGGCAAGGCCTGCAGTCATCTAAGAGACAAACCTCTGGGCATTCTCTGAAGGAGTTTCTCCATTGGGTTGGTTGAGGTGAGAAGCTCCACTCTCGCATCGCCATTCTGTGGACTGGGTTCTTGCACTTGATAACAGGAGGATGCTAGTGCACACACCAGCATTTGTGTCTCTCAGCTTCTCAAATACAGATGTAGTGTGACCAGCTGTTTCCTGCTCCTGCCCTCGTGACTTCCCTGCCATGATGGATGATATACTTCGACTGTGAACCAAAGGAAACCCTTCTATCCCTAACTTGAGTTTCACAAAGCAGAGAGGAAACATAACTAATGTAGGAAATTGGTAGCCAGATGTGGGGTAGTTGATGTGGCCATATGACTCTTTAGCCATTTGACTGGTTTGTGGAAGGAATGCTGAAGAGTTTGAGACTTTGGACTCAAACCACCCTACAGGCAGATTCTGTTGACCAGAGTGAATATGGGAGTTCGCTTGGGAACTGGCCTACAGACCATTTGAATTATAGATAAGTCTGGCAGCATTCTGCCTGTTTCCTGAGACCTTGAGTGAAACTGAGAGAAATGTTGAGAGTATAGCATTCAGGCTGTGGTGTGGCCACTGCTCCCTGCCTTATTCAGATCTGCAGTAAGAGAGAGCAATAAGACAGGAGAAGTGTGAAGCTTGGTGAGGAAAGGCATGAGAACAATTTTAAAGTTGTAGATAAGGAGAGCATAGATGAAGCATCTGTAATTGAAAGAAAGGTAAGCCCCATTAAAGAGAAGGCATTAGAAAGGAGCCTCAGGACACAGCCCACCTATTGAAGGCAACAACTTGTGAAAAGGAAGATCAGTAAAGTAGGGAAGCTGATCTGAGAACTGGATGAAGGGGTTCCCTGCTGGAAAACAACCATCTAAGGCACACAGTGGCCACTAACAGCTTTGCCTCAATCAGGTCCATACTACATCTCCAGCTGGGGGCCACATTTGGCAGTGTTGTCAGCCTGGTACTGTTTTGTTTTCATTTTTAGGATAGAAAGAGTGGAAGAGTGAAGGGTTCACAGAGGATTTTCTGGGGTCCCAAAACTTTGCTGAGACCAAAGATTGAGTTTGCTGCCTGGAAAGGAAGGCATGCTTGGCAGATGAGGAAAGGGGCTTCCAGGGAGTGAAAACTAAGGTTCATTGGCTAGAAAGTGTCAGAAGCCCAGCTGCATGTGTTTTGTTCCTCTGTGGTGGTTAATTGCCTTCTGTGTTTAATACTGTTACACTAAGCAAGGCACAACCAGAACCAGCAATGATTCTGGGTCTCTGAAAGCTTGCTGTGTTCTTTCAAACACACTGGAACTGAGGCTTAAATTCTCACAGCTTAGAAGGTGCCCAGGAAAAGCCTCTCCCTCCCTATTTCTGTTAGAAAAAGGTCAGAAGTGACTCAGGCCAAAGTAGAGTCCTTTGCCTATTCCCTCAGCTAGTGGTGAGAAATGGTGGTTCCCTCACACCAGGTCAAATACCTGGTAGAAATGGCTGCTTTGGCACACCCATACCCCATATTCTAGCATGGGGACAGAAGAGCCATCTCACAGAAAGGGTGGCACAGGTGTGCTCACTGGGTCCCTGTGGGCCCAGCCAGATTACAATATTAGTGGGAGTTTGAGTCTAGTTGTCTCTGTGAATTCAAGGCCAGCCTGATCTGCAGAGCTAGTTCCAGGAGAGCCAAGACTACATGCACACACATTCAGACACACACAATACAACCCTGTCTTGAAAAACCAAAACAATGACAACAAAAGTATAGAAGAAGAAGAAGAAGAAGAAGAAGAAGAAGAAGAAGAAGAAGAAGAAGAAGAAGAAGAAGAAGAAGAAGAAGAAGAAGAAGAAGAAGAAGAAGA